CAATCATCAGCAAAAAGCCTAATGGTAGAATAATTCTGACAGGCAAATCATTAATATAAATAAGAAAAAGCAGTGGACCTAAAATCGAACCCTGTGGTACGCCTGATGTTACAGCAACGGTAGGAGAGTTATAATTATTAGCTTGAACATACTGCAGACGGTTTGTTAGAAAAGAGTGAATCCAGTCAAGGATGTTAGGATCTATACTTAGCTTGCTCAATTTAAGAAGAAGGAAAGTATGCGAAACAGTCTCGAAGGCTTTAGCGTAATCTAAAAAGATGCAGTCGGTAATGAAATTATTGTCGAAAGCACGAAAAAGATCGTAAGTAAAAGAAAGTAACTGCGTTTCACAAGAGAAGTACTTCCTGAAACCGTGTTGCCAAGGAGAAAACAATGAACTGGATTTGAGGAAAGATACTAAGTTTGAATAGATGATGTGCTCGAGAAGTTTGCAGGGTACACTGGTTAAAAATATTGGCCTGTAATTGAAGCGAGAGTGGGTGTTACCTGATTTGTGAAGTGGAACCACCTTACCCACCTTCCAATCATCTGGCAAAGTGGAAGACTGCAGAGACTGCGAAAAAAGTTCAGTGAGTATAATGGAAGAATAAAGTTCTGTGTTCTTTAAAAACTTTGAATTGATACCGTTGTTGCCTGCAGAGCTAGACGATTACATTTTTTTCTAGTATACGGCACACTCCAGATGAATCAACAGATATGAAATCTATGAGAAAAAAGGAAAGGTCTTCGACAGGAGGCATAAAAAAGGGTGTTGCCCCAGAAAAACAAGAAACAAATACATCATTCATCACATCGCAGCAGTCACGATCGGAAACAGCATCACCATTGCTATCTAGTAGGTGAAACGTTGTAGATCTGCTGCCACGAACTACATTCCGAAATTGCCGGGGATTATCTTTCAGTAGGGTGGGTAGGGTAATGTTGTGGAATACATTTTTAGCCTGCGCAATGGCGTTTTTGTACTCTTGTTGAGCGACGAAGTACGCATGCCAACGCTCAGGCGTCATCACAACTTCTTCTCGGCGGAAAATCCTTTTCTTCTTGTTTAGTAAGCGCTTCAAATGGGCGTTAAACCAAGGGGCTTTAGAAAAAGAAAGGATCTGTTTTTTAGGAATGTAGCGGTAATCAAAAAAGCGACCTTTTCTTTAAACATCAACCAATTTTCTTGAATGGTGCGTGTATAAAAACCAGGCATATAGTCTGTGGTGAAATTAGCAAGTTCATTATTTATTGCAGCAAAATTTGCGTTTTTATAATCTTTAATAAATTTAATTTGCTTCGTGCAAGGTTAATGGGCATGAATACTACAGTGAATAAAACAGTGATCACTTAGATTGGGCATAAAAACTAGGGGTGAGACGTGTTCTGGAGTGTTCGTAAGCAGCAAATCTAGTACATTGGCAGAATGAGGTGAGCAACGAGTAGGCTGAAGTACCAGTTGCTTAAGGTTAATATCTAAACAAACATTAAAAAATGACGAACATTCTATTGAATTTTCCACAAGACTTGGCGGGTCAGTAGACCACATTATAGAAGGCAAGTTAAAATCTCAAAAAAAAATAAAGGACATTTGCGAAACCGCACAGTCAACTTATTTAGGACATCATGTAATTCTTGACAAATTGTTGTTGAAGACTGTGGCGGTTTACAGCACACATTGAAGATGAACGTTCTATGCCCTGTAAATACACATGTGCTAACAAATCCTAAGTTGGTGTCGACCATAATCGCACTAGAGATGAAAGTATTCCGGACAGCTCACTACACACCACCGCTTCGACTATCAGTACGATCCGAACGATAAATTTTGTAGCCCGCTTCGCAGTGCAATATTTCAAAGTCATAAATTGCGGAAGAGAACAAAGTTTTTGTGAGCAGAAGCACATCCGCAGAACACGTGTCGATAACGGAAGATACGTCGTCGCGCTTGTTACACACACTACGCGCATTGGAATACAGCAGGGACACCTGAATGGCTGATTGCGTTCGTGCTAGCTATGCTGCTGGGGCGGGTAAACTGGCAGCAGCTGGAAGAGTGACGGGGGAAGCATTGCCAATATTACTGCTGTTGCGCTCCTCGCGTGTCTCAAGTTCGCACACACGGTCGGTAACATGGCAATACACATAGACAGTCTTGTTAACATACAATTTGTTTACTCGTAGCGAGTAAACAAAACGATGCATAGACACAGTGCATCGTGTTCCCACGAAATCAGCAGTGAACAACATCATTGCTCGGTTTTGCAGTCGTGACAAAAAAAAAATGACTTCATCCGCAAAGCTCGCAAGGCTCGGCTTCGCACCGGCAGCATTGGCTTTTCGGAATCTTCTGACCAGGCTATTTATACGAATGACCACCTTACTGCTGAGAATAAGAAGCTATTTGCTAGGGCACTGGCTCTCAAGAAAGAGCACCAGTGGAAATTTCTCTGGACAGAGAACTGTCGCATCCTAGCACGCAAGTCTAAAGATACCAGGGTCTTTCGAATAAATACCGCCTCTGACCTTTCGATTTTCATTTAACCGACGCCTTACATATTCTGTATCGACCACTAAGTTTTTCTTTTTTTTGTGTCTTCGACTACCGTTAGCAACCTCAAATATTCGCTTACGTTACAGAAATATTCGCCAATTCATTTTAATGCTCGCAGCATCCGAAAGAACTATGACGCGATTACCACTTTTCTTTCTCTACTGCACCACCAGTTTTCGTTTATCTGCCTTTCGGAAACGTGGTTGTGCGACGCAGACCGTAACATGTATTCTTTTCCACAGTATCAGGCAGAGTATTGTCACCGATCTTACGACGCGCATGGTGGGGCTGCAATTTTTGTTTCCAGTGGGGTTTCGTACACGCGCAGGTTTGATCTGTCTTTCACCGTACCACTGTGCGAATCTGTGTGGATCGAATGTGGCAAGTCACCCCTAAACAACGGAAAAAAATTAATCATTGGCAGTGTGTATCGCTCTCCTTCATCTCCTGTTCTAGAATTTCTGTCAAATCTTGATAGATTACTTCACAAGCTATCTTTTGAGAATAAGCAAGTTGTACTGGTAGGGGACATCAACATAAACTTATTAGATATGGAATCCAGTGTCTACTCGGCTTACATGAACTGCTTCAGTGGCTTCGGCTACGAATCACTTATCACTGCTCCAACAAGATGTGGCCACCAGGGTTTCCAATCTCTTTTAGATCATGTCTTATGCAATTTTTCTCCCGCCCCCGAGGCTGGCGTGGTTGACACATACATTAAAGATCACTTCCCCGTTTACATAACATTTAATGCTAGGCGCTCCAGTGTCGATAGCTGTTTTTACACATCTGTGCTGGATCATGACAAGTTTATCGATGCTATAGCTACAACTGACTGGTCACTTGTTAAGTCCGATATTCTTGATAATTCCTGCTCTGACGTAGAGGCTATGCTACAGAAATTCTGCACTTTATTTTTAAAGGCCGTAACATCTAGTACACCAACTGTTAAATGCAAAAAACGGTATAAATTTCCCCACAATCCATGGATGACAAACGGCTTATTGACAAGTGTTCGTAAAAAAGATAACCTTTACAAAAAAACAAAAAGACAGCCTTCTAATACTTCGCTTGCCCGCCGATACAGGAAATATTGCAACAATTTGAAAATTTTACTCCGAGAAGTAAAAAAGCGTTATTATGAAAATGAGTTGACCAAACATCAGGGGGACCCTAAAAAACAATGGAACCTTTTGAACAACTTTTTAAACGAATCATCTAGAAACTCACTTATATCTGAAATAATATATAATAATATTTCTTTGCAACAGCCAACTTCTATTGCAAATGCTTTCAGCGATTTTTTTTTCTAGCATTCCTACTGCACAATCGGGCATACCAAAATGATCCGTTTCTCGGGTCGCTTCTTCATTTTTTCTTTTGCCCGTAACCGCTGACGAAGTATGCTCAGTTCTCTTGAATCTAAAAAATAAATGCGCAGGTCTTGACAATATTTCTGCGTATCACTTAAAACTGGTTGCGCGTAATATTTCTGGGATACTTAGTGATATCATTAATCTAATGTTTCAGCAAGGCGTATTTTCTAAACTTTTAAAGAAATCTAAAATAGTTCCGGTATTCAAAAAGGGTGACAAAAGAACAGTTTCTAATTATCGGCCCATATCAATTCTTTCTTCCCTCAGCAAAGTTATTGAAAAACTGTTCGTTGATCATTTAAGTAATTACCTAAGCAAATTTAATATACTTCATCCGTGTCAATTTGGCTTTCGTTCAGGCAGTTCGACAAGCTTAGCACTAGTTTCATTAATAGATTACTTAAAAAAATCGATTGACTGTGGTAAATTTGTTGGATCTGTCTTCCTAGATTTCACCAAGGCCTTTGACACCATTAATCATGCCACCCTGTTTAACAAATTGGAGGCCTATGGGGTAACTGGAGCTCCATTAACCTTCCTGAAAAATTATCTGCACAATAGAGAATGCTCGGTGTACGTATCAGGCGCTTCTTCTGAAACTAAGCTAATCAATCAAGGCGTGCCCCAGGGGTCTATTTTGGGCCCTTTATTATTTATATTAATGATCTTCTCGATGCAATTAAATCAACTCACTGCGTGTTATACGCAGACGACACGACTATAACTGCAGCTGAGGACTCTCTAACTGCTCTTACTTTACACTTGAATAAGACACTTCTAGATATTACTAAATGGTGCTACGAGAACCAACTTATTATTAACCCAGCCCAAACCAAGTTTATGATATTTAGGTCTGCTCAAAGGCCATTGCCTTTTCATCAACCCTTAACCCTAGGTCCTCACTCTATACCCACCTGTGATACTGTAATTTTTCTTGGTGTACATCTTGACTGCCATTTAAAGTTTAATCTCCACACTGATCACCTCAGAAAGAAAACTGCATTCGGAGTTCGGGCTATAATAAAAGCTCGTGAAGTTTTTCATATAAACGTACTTATGTTTCTGTATTTCGCCTTCATTCATTCCCATATCATGTATGGTATCGCTGCTTGGGGGAACACGTATGACTGTCATCTATCACCCATTCAGAACATACAAAATCAGGCGATCCGCATTATCACTAATAGCTCACGATACTCCAGTGCAGGCCATCTACTCCAAGACAACAAAATCCTACCTGTTCGTAAGTTATTTTTTTATAGCATAGCCGCTCTTCTGTTTCAATTGCGCAATGCCCTGCTACCGTTTGAGTTCATTGATTCAGTTTTCTTACAAAAAAACAATGTAACCAGATTTGCAATGAACCTTAACTTTTTGCTACCCGCGTCGCGCACAAATTATGGAAAAATGACCACTGCCTTTGCGGCCATTACTTTTTGGAATAACATGCCTCTTTCTGTTAAAACGATGCCCACATTGTCATCATTCAAAAAGTCGCTTAAAAGTTTTCTGTTAAATTATTAGCTGCCTGTATATGGGCTTTTTGGGGGCTTTGCGTTTTTGGTTATGCCATTTAGATCATTGCATTTCGATTGACAATGTCCGCCACTGAACGAGATGTTTTTTTTTTTTCGTTCTTTCTTTTTTTCTTTCCTTATTTGCCTTGCTTTTTGTTGCCTGATTTGTCACTTAGCCTATAATAATTACTTATCACTCTATATTGTATAATTGATTTCCATTCACTCGTTGCTTGTTAACTTGATCTGATTTATTGATTGTTATAATGCATCGAGGGTCCCGTTACAGTTTTTAACTTTGGGACCCTCGTCTGTATATTAATATTACTGTACTACTTTTTTGAAATGAATAATAAACTGAAACTGAAACTGAAACTGAAACTGAGTACGGCTGTACAGAGTTTTTACCAAATTCATGTAACTTTTTTCGGCATTGTCATGTTGCCCTCGAGAAGTCTTCACTAACTGACACCTTAGAGGGTTGAAACTTGTCCCTTTGATAAAAAACGTTATCCTTTATTTTTGACGATTGAATTTTAACAATAATAGGCCGGCACTTATTGGGAACATAGGCACCAAGCCTATGCGCACGCTCTATTGCTTCATTTGATAGGTTGAGGTCAAGTTTTTGAGATATAAGGTTAGTGATTATTTTTTCACTCTGTGCCCAACCTTCAGAAACATTGTCAGCAATGGCAAAAAATATCAAATTGTCTCTACGAGACCGATCTTCCAACTCGTCAAGTCGGGAATGAAGAGCAGTCGTTTCGTTTCTTATGGCTGTATTTACTGCTTGCGGAAGATCAGGAATATGGTGACCCGAGTTATATGATTCTACCATCGTCTCAACTGTCGCTAGCCTGCTAGAAAGGTCGGTTACTTTCTGTTCTAATAAAGATTGATTGGTTTGAACTTGGTAAAGTACGTTAAGAAGTTCCGCATGACACGAGTCTACTTTAGCTGAAACGCTAGCAATAACTGTCAGCACCTTATCTTCCAGCCCTGGGTTTGATTCAATGTCCCCGCACAAAAGTAACTTGAGGACATGAAAGCACCCAGAGACATTGTCATATGCAACACTTGGGCCAGGGAAGAGCAGCATACATATATCACTGGAGCGCTTTGAGTACAAATACGGGCGGTTACCAACCTGCACGATGAAGCAGAAAAAATTCACAACCGGTCCCATAGCTGCCGCTCTTTCCTGGCCACTGAAAGGCGCTGACAACGGGCGGACGTTTAAATCAGCATTGTGTGCTGACGTCAACGAAAGAATCGGCTGGTCCAAAAGGTGGAACGGTGCCATCCGAATGGTTGTAGTACAGGCATCGGGTTGAGCAGCGGGGACAGCGATTAGAATGATCGTTGGCGTAGACCTGTTCGTTGACGCTGCAGAAACAGCGCATGGCCATATGTAGACAAGAGACGAAATCTGCACGATGAAGCAGAAAAAATTCACAACCGGTCCCATAGCTGCCGCTCTTTCCTGGCCACATCTTCCATGCACACCGCGTTTTCACCCTGCCCGTCCCCAGTTCTGGCCCCCACACTTCGCATTTGAACTACCTTTGTTCTTCGACTCGCTTGCACAGTCATAATTATAAATATTTCAGTACCGAACTTCCACGCCTTTCATCATTGTTCAGAGCCCGCCTCACATATTACATAATTTCGTCAACCAGAATATGTCGACAGTCATCACCTGACCGGGATTCACTGAAATACAATAAACTCAAAAGTATCTTAAAATTCACGTTTAAATCCAACCCAACAACATTAGGAGCCCTCGACAAGTTTTTTTATAATCCATTTATTTAACTTGAAATGGCAGGTGAACCAATTTCGATGCGTTTGCGAAGTGGACAGAATTAAGGCCAGACTCGTGACAGAAGGTAGAAAATAAACGTAGCTTAGCTGAAAAAAAAATTAAACGTTTGTTAGCTGAAAAACGAAGCTCTGTTCCACCACTGCGCTAACAGAGCTTCGTCCTTTGGAACGCCGAACAACGCATGCTTCTTTTTAGCTGACCTGTAGCCTGTAGTGAACCCTGGGACAAAGCAATGAATTTGTTTTTATGCCATGAGAGTGCATACAAAAGCATTAACGTCAGAGTACCACCGCAATTAAAAAAACGAGGACGAACGCGCCCGATGGAACTATCGGGAACGTTCAAACAACGTTGGATAGATGGATGAATGGATGGATGTGGCTGTACCACAGAACACCTATACACTACCATTTAGAGAAGGGAAACTGTACTTTTGACAATGCAACGAAAAAAAGGGTAGCGGGAGTGTTGTGGACTAACTTATCCGACCTAGAGACGGCGCAGGTAGGCCTATCATCATCATTGCGCTAAAGCAATATGGCGGCTGCTTGATAGCGAGTGCGGGGGGTCGCGGTGCACACCCGCAGGTTTGTGGGCGTTTATTCGCTGAAATTGCGGGGTGTTGTTCGCGCACACAGCACCCTCAAGTTACTATAAATATTTCCGCTATGCCGCCAGGTGACTGAGAGGCCTCCACTGGCAAAAAACACGCCAAGCAAGTAAGCTCCCATCGTTTATTGACAATCGTGAATGCAGCAGTATACGTGTAAACAAAGAACACTGCCTCTCACAGAGTTGAACAATACATGAAAAGAAAAGTGATAGTCATCTGTTTAATAAAATCGCCCACTGAAATTGTGCAAGCTTGTCCCTTGGCTCATTCAGTGAGGCAACGATATTTACACTGGACACCCCTTGCACAGTACTTGGCAGTGTGCTGCCCATTGGCTTTCTCACCACACATGATCTCAAAAATTTCAGTGTTAGTATGATTAGCCTGAGCCACAATATCATTTTTGACAAAACATTGACGAGAAGCACATTGCGTTGAATAAATAGAAATGACCCCACACTGCTGTGCTAGGTATCTCTGCATTGTTCTCGATATAACATTGTTGTCGATATTGTGTGTAGAATCTGTGTTGTTAACTGCGCGTCCGATCGTTTTACGACTAACTAGATCAACTTCCAGTTATGGTAACCAAGTGATTTGTGGGAAAACACCATTTACAGGATCATGTTGAAAAGGAAACTTAGTTTACGTTTCAAAAGAGGTAAAAGGGTTGCAGTGACAGGCACTTTCATTGAGCAACACTTGGCGAATAATGGAAGCCTGAGTCACACATTCCAGCAAGTCAACATTCTTGCAAAAGTTGTCACCGATGACAAAATAAGAGAATTAGCTACCCTTTCCCTTGCTCGCCTACTGTAGATCAGCTGACACACGAGATACAGGATGCCTGTTAGTGCTTCCAAAAGCACTCATTCGTAAAAAATAAACTATGCACCAGTGGATAGCACTCGGAATACACTGCACATGACATATACATATACAATAGGGACATATGGAACACTAGACAGCTGAGAAGTGCTAGAAGTTATGGTAGCAATGTTAAAAAATAGGCAGTGAATAATCATTGCAGTCAAATCTGCATAATGAAATTTTCTACGATGTTCATTCACAAAGTAAGGGCCATTTCCTAATCTTTAAGTGTTTGCACGCAAGACTGAAGAGTTATGCGCACAGCACAATCTGCTGCTTCTCAGCGAAAGTACTGAAGTGATTGTTCTGGCATAGTAGTCATCTGCTTGACGGGGAACGCACCCACCAATGTTGGCGAATATTGTTGCTCCCGCCTGATGTGGGGTGCACACTGTATTTACATTTTTGCATGCAAAATAATCACTAGCTTTTCCAATTTATGAGGAGTTGTGCACAGTTCATGGATCAACTGTGAGGATTCAGACAAGTGTCAGAACACGGTGTTGAGACTTCCAAAATGGCTGCACAAATGCGTACGAAAAAGAGTGGAGCACCACGCCAAGCAACCAGACCAACCAAACTGTTCAAGTGGACAGGATATTGCAATAGATTGAGGACTAACAGTTACTGGTCTGTAAGGCAAAGTTCCCATTGTTGGCCTCGCTACAATTTGCACAGTCATAGCCGATATGCCCAGATATCACAAAGTTAGGTTCCGAAAATGCTTACTGACCAACTGAAACATTCATCCTCCTCATCATCATCATCATCAGCCTGACTACGTCCACTGCAGGACAAACGCCTCTCCCATGTTCCGCCAGTTAACCCGGTCCTGTGCTTGCTGCTGCCAATTTATACCCGCAAACTACTTAATCTGGTCTGCCCACCTAACCTTCTGTCTCCCCCTAACCCGCTTGCCTTCTCTTGGAATTCAGTTAGTTACCCTTAACGACCAGCGGTTATCCTGTCTACGCGCTACAGGCCCGGCCCATGTCCATTTCCTCTTCTTTATTTCAACTATGATATCCTTAACCCCCGTTTGTCCCCTAATCCACTCTGCTCTCTTCTTGTCTCTTAAGGTTACACCTACCATTTTTCTTTCCATTGCTCGCTGCGTCGTCCTCAATTTAAGCTGAACCCTCTTTGTAAGTCTCCAGGTTTCTGCTCCGTAGCTAAGTACCGGCAAGATACAGCTGTTATATACCTTCCTCTTGAGGGATAGTGGCAATCTACCTGTCATAATTTGAGAGTGCTTGCCGAATGTACTCCACCCCATTCTTATTGTTCTAGTTACTTCAATCTCGTGGTTAGGCTCTGCGGTTATTACCTGCCCTAAGTAGACATGGTCTTTTACAACTTCAAGTGCACTATTACCTATCTCGAAGCGCTCCTCCTTTCCGAGGTTGTTGTACATT